AATGTGAGCAGACATGTTGTGTGATAACCACTCGGAAGTGACTAGAATGGTTGGGAAACAGGAGCAAACCACTCGAAACTGATTAGAATGTTTGATAAGCAGGAGCAAACCGCTCGAAAAGATTAAAGTGTTTGGGAAACAGGAGCAAGCCACTCGAAAGCGACCAGAATGTTTCAGAAACAGGGGCACGCCGCTCGAAAGTGACTAGAACGTTTGAGAAACAGGAGCAAACCACTTGAAAGGGACAAGAGTCTCTGAGAAACAGGAACAAAGCACATCGAAAGTGACCAGAATGCTTGAGAAACAGCAACTAACACTCTACTCACTTTCGGGCGCTTTGCCCCTGTCTCTCAAAGACGCTAGTCCCTATCGCGTGGTCTGATCCTGTTGCTGCAACATTCTAGTCATTTCGAGCGCTTTGTTCCTGTTTCTCAAATGCTCGAGTCCCTTTCGAGTGGTTTGCTCCCGTTTCTCAAACATTCTAGTCATTCTCGTTCCGTTTGCTCCTGTTTCTCAAACAGTTTAGTTTTTTTGAGTGGTTTTCTCCTGTTCTTAATTGTTCTAGTCATTTTCGAGCGGTTTGTTCCTGTTTCTCAAAGACTCTAGCCCCTGCAAAGTTCACGTTTCCCGAAGACTCTAGTCCATTTCGCGTGGTTTGCTTTTGTTTCTCAAACATTCTAGTCAAGTCAGTTTCGAGCGCTTTGCTCTTGTTTCTTAAAGACTCTAGTCCTTTTTGAGTGCTTTGCTCCTGTTCCCCAAACATTCTAGTCGCGTTCGAGTGATTTGCTCCGGTTTCTCAGACATTCTGGTCATTTTCGAGCGGTTTGCTCCTGTTTCTCCAACATTCTAATCACTGTCGAGCGGTTTGCTCCTGTTGGTTTGCTCCTATGTCAAAGAGACTTGAGTCCCTTTCGAGTGGTTTGCGCCTGTCTCTCAAACATTCTAGTCATTTTCGAGCGGCTTGCCCCTGTTTCACAAACACTCTAGTCACTTTCGAGTGGTTTGCTCCTGTTTCTCAAAGGCTCAAATTCCGTTCGAGCGTTTTGCTCCTGTTTCCGCAGCGTTGTAGTCACTTTCGAGCCCTTTGCTCCTGCCTCTCAAAGATTCCCGTCTCTTTCGAGTGTTTTAACCCTGTTTCTCAAACCGTCTAGTCACTTTCGAGTGGGTTGCTCCCATTTCTCAAACCTTCTAGTCACTTTCGAGCGGTTTGTTCCTGCTTTTCAAATATAGTCTAGTCACTTTCGAGCGGTTTGGTCCTGCTTCCCAAAGACTCCAGTCCCTTCGAGTGGTTTGCTCCTGTTTGTGAAACAGTCTAGTCATTTTCGAGCGGTTTGCTCCTGTTTCTCAAAGATTCTAGTCCCTTTCGAGTGGTTTGCGCCTGTCTTTCAAACATTCTAGTCAGGTTCGAGTGGTTTGCTCTTTGTTTCTCGAATTCTCCTAGGTTCTTTGGAGCGGTTTTTGTCCCTGTTTCTCAAGCAATATTTTTAGCCACTTTCGAGCTGTTTGCTCCTGTTTCTCAATTGCTCTCCATCCCAGAGTAACCCCAAACCTATCCCAAATCCACTTCAATTCCTGCAAAACGCCTCACACCCGCTCCAGCCCGGCACTGGGGTTTATGGCGACTTTTCCGCTTTTAAATGTGGGCGACTGCCTTGCGAAAGGCAGCAGCATAATGAAAATGGCCGTTGTGTTTCTGGCTCCCGGTTTGGGCGAGGCAGGGCTTTCATCAGGAACGATGAAGTTGGTAGAGACATGTTCATGCAAAAAGATTACTGCTGCTGCCGCGAGCACACTTGGATCTCGCTCCGTGCGCAAACAGACATGCTTATGCAACAAGACTGCTGCGGCGAGCACACGTGATCCGCGTGTGCATAGAGAGATGCTCATGTGAAAAGACTGCGGCGATCTCTCGCCGCCCCAAGATAGATGACTTTTTATTGCGGACGCCAGTTTAAGTTTCTGCAGTCACGCGCACATCTTTTGGGCTGTCGGGAGACCATATTCAGAAGCTTGGTCATTGTGCCTTTGCTCTACAGGTTGTAAACCCCACAAGCGAATCCGTTGATGGGAAGGCAATAGAAATATTCCGATACTTATGTTGGTTATCAATGTTGTTCATACCGGTTATGAGCAACAGAGATGTGAGCAACGACAAATAAGGTACAACCTAGAGTAAGTATAACGTTCAGCTATGGGGACAGGCCGGAAACCCTTGCAAAGCAGCAGAGGCAAGAGTCCATCGCCCGAGGTTACTCGTCAACGGTTTCAAGTTCGACCTCCGCCTCTACGTGGTGGCCGCCCTGATGCAACCAGCATGCAGTGCCCGGATGCAGTTTAGGCAGGGTTGAGGATTCCTCCTGGCACCCAGGGCCGGTTGGGTCAATTGCCCGCGCATACTAAAGTTACGAAAGTCCCTGTGTGCCGGCGCCTGGCGGCACCATGCATAGTGGTTTCCGAGGATTTCGGGTTTCGTTCATAAGCTGTGGCAAGCACGTAGGACCGCTCGTTCAGGTAACCTCCTTCGATCCCCTGAAGGCCGGACCGCCGGGCGGAGGAGAGGCGGTTTTTGGTGTTTTGGCGCCGGTCAGGACGATTTCATTCAGGTAGGAAGTCATCGCCCATATCTAGCATTGACAATGTTTCTTCAAGGAGAGGACGAAGTGTCGCACTGTAGTGACAGATCCTACACTCGGACTGAAGAAGCCCGCCTTTGAATGAAATGGGGGGAGTAAGTAAGGGCTTGCGGTTGAGGATTGGATGGCTAGTTTCTTTGCCCGGAAATTTAGAAGCCTTGTCGATGGTAATCTTTGCTACCAGAAAGTTCCTTTGACTAAGACACTCTGCCTTTTCGCAAGCCTCGTACAACAATTCGGGACAATCCCGTTCTCTTCTGTGTGACAAACACGAGTGCCAGTGCCTACGAAGTCCTCTGAGTTCTGGGCAAGTCTGCAATTACGAATAATAGAGGGGTGGGGAAAATTGGGAATAGTATCCGCTTATGGTCTTTACATAACAGCATTCCATTATAGTGGACCCTACTGTAGCCCTTTTCTGAGTATTAAGGGACAGTTAAGATTTGCCGCTGAGGGTGTCGAATGAGGTCTACATCAATGAGGAGGGGCTTGTGCGCCTGGCCACGCAGAAGTATCGGTGTTCGGCCGACAGTGCCTGGCTCAGGGCTTTCCGAAAACCCTTTTTGATGCCGGAACTCAGAGTTTAAAGGCATCGGTTGACCGTGTCTGGAGCACATTCGCGAAGCTTGAGCCCGCATCCATCGACAACCAGCCATTTTCAGGTTGGTTCTTGAAACGATGCCGGACAGTGTCCAACCCCAAACAGCTTCTAACAGTCACGGGAACCTGCAGCACAGACGAGGTTGTTCGGATCGTGATCTCGGGATTTTCGACTTCCGGGGTTGCCGGATCCCTGAACCACATGTCACCCGTGTTTCGTCAAATCCTAACATGCAGAGCTCTAAGGCCCGGAAGCCTACGCTCAAATCGTATGCCACTGCCTTCAACTTTAGGTTCCCCGTCCTGAGACCTCCTTGTACAGCCTATTCACTGCGCATGGCGAAGCCAGTTTTTGTCTGCCCATCTGGGCATTTCGAATATCTCGACAAGGAGCCGAGCATTGATCAGCCTCCAGTCCCAAAACTTCTAAAGTCCTGTCTCCTCTGAGGTCTCCAAGAGAGGACCATGCACCTTACAAATTATTCGGTGAACAAGCACGCAGCCAGCTGGGGCCCTTCATCGTCGGCGGGCAAGGGCTGCTGGGGGTGTTGCATTTTGATGTATGGTTCTGCAAATTAGTTTCAACAGGGGTTTTAGGCATGTGGCATAAATGAGTGTATCACATAAAGGAAGATTCTGCAGACCTCCATATAGTAGTCTTGACGGGATGCTTTCCGTGTTCGGGGCATTTCGGGGCTCGCCGGGTGTCGAAGTGTCGGGGTGTTGTTGGCGATCGAAGTTTCGAAGCTTGCCTACTGCAGCCTAGCCCTGCTTTGCACACAAAGAGTTGCTTGTTTTGCCCAGGCTACAAGCAAAATCTGGACGGCCAAGATGCGGAAGATGCTGATGGGACTTCGGGGGAGGCCTCCACTGAACCCTCCGAAATGAAATATATGCAGAAATCGCGTCCATCCGAAATGAAATATGCAGAAGTCGCCTCCCCTTCTCTGCGCCAGGGAGGCGAGGCCGAAGAGGAGGCCCAGGCAAAGTGTTGATACCGTGACGAAGCTTCCAAGCTCTTGTCTCGTTTTGGCGACATAGAGAGGCGCTCGAATAGAACACCTTGGACAGAGGAGCAGAGCGGCGAAAGGGACCAGTGATTAGATAAATGCAGAAGGAGGAGAGGGCTCCTCGAAAGAGTCGTGGCATGAGATGCGAGAAAGCAGGGAAATTTGGAAGAGAAGCAGAGCGTTGGCACGGGACTAACTAGAGACTTCGAGGGACAAGAGTCATGTACACTGAAGTGAGAAGAGAATGTGCGAAAGAGGAGCAGGGCGCGCGAAGGGGACGACAGTCTCAGAAAGAGCAAAATGTGAGGCGGCGAAACGGACCTGGGAAACTGAGAACGAGGAGCAAGCCGCTCGAAATGGTTTCAGACTTGAGAAAGACGACGAGACCGCTCGAAAAGGACTCGAGAGACAGTTTGAGAGAGTGGAAGAATGCAGAGAACGTGAGAAACATGAGCAAACCCCTCAGGAGCAGCCCGAAAACCCACGAAATGTACCATGACTGCTTGTGCAGCACGCTGCTGATCTTGCTTCTGCGGCTGCACGGCGACAAACATAGCTGAAAGTTGCCTGATGGCTTTATCGCCGCTGGCCCCTGATCCCCCGGTAAGCATAAAGTCGCCTCGAAGCTTCGAGTGGTTTTGAGAGGCCCCGCGGGGTGACGATGCCACCGCGGCGGAGGTCCCTTGCTCGTTAGGGCACGTCTTGACTTTTCTTCTGCCACTCTCCTTGATGATTGATGCCGTGATACGTTAGTTGTGTTGGTCCGGGTCCGGATCGTCGTGGTCGGAGGCTTAGGCTTTACCCTCCCTCTCGCGTGCCTTCTTCCACTCGGCAGGAGAGCACTGGATCTTCGAAGTGGTCCTTGAGGTTCGCAGATCGAGGTTGTCAGGTTCATTGATTTTCTTGGGAGGTGCTTAGGGTCCGGGGCGTTCAGGGCTTTGTCGCTCTGACCGCCGAGACATATGACTCACGGCCTGAAGTCTTTCCGCAGCCTTCCCTGAAAACGGATCTTCTTGCCAGCAGAACCTAGCCAGCCAAGCTGGAGGGACAAGTCCCTGACTCTTTCCCCAGGCAACTCGAGGAGTATTTCAAGACTCAGGGTCTGGTGCCGAGTCGGGATTCAGGGTCTTCTACGCGATGACTCGATTCCTGCCCTTCAGGCTCGTCTTGCCTTGTCTCTGTGTGTTCGTGTATGTGTGCATGTGTGCATGTTGGAATGTGTGACACGTGTGTGAAAATACAGCCTACTTATGTGAAGTGTCTCATGAAGGCCCTCGTATATACCAGATGGCCATTCCTGCAAACTGTATCGTGCAAATGCAGTGACTCAGCAAGACCTGAAGAAGTGTAAGGCCTTGACTACGGGTTGGCGATGTCGCGGATCGAGGATGTCATTATCAAGACTCTCATCGCGGTGGAGCCGCGACCTCGGCCGTCAGCTTGAGAATCGCGCAGGGCAGGCTATAGGAAGCATAGGTTCAGGTCACAATACCGGGATTCGATGATTCGGGAGCAGTCTGGGTTTCCGGTCGCGGATTTCAGCATTAGAGTTTGGGATTTGCGCCAGGTACTGTAGCGCTTGAATGTTGAGAGCTCATCTCTGCCAACTTCCGATCATGCAAGCAATCATGTCCGTCTGGCAAGGCCGCAGATTGTGAACACCTGGCACCAGGCTCGTTCTTCGATCGTATAGGTTTCGGGTTTAGCCGCTGAGCCCCAAAGCTTAAGCCACTTATTCCACAACTTGTCACAAGCTTTTCAGGGGGCGAACTTCTCCGTCGCTAGTTCTGGCCCCATCCAGCAGGCATCGGGTCGCGCTGCTTTCTTGGGGCTTCGAGGGTTCAGCCGGTTCAGCTTCATCAGCATCAGTTGGTCGTTTCGGCGAGCATGTTGCGCGGTATTCAGATCTTGGTGTTGCATCGGATCAGGGGTCGGCAGCAACTTGGGCTGATTAGGGTTCAAGGGTTTGGATGTTGGAGTTGTTTGAGGCTTCGACTAGCTTTTTAATGTCTGAGGCCACCCAGCCGATGTTTGTCTCTGCATGTTCTGGCAGGAAATCTGCAGGACGGACTGTACAGGTGTCTTGACGCATCAGAGAGACGACATCATAAAGTGCTTTTTAAGAAGCCAACTTGTTTGTGCGGAGTTTCGCGAGACGGGTTCCCGCCAGGTTGGCCCGCACCAGACCTGCTTTGAGATCTACGGTCTCAGCCTGAGACCTTGAGAGCTTCAGACCCTAGATACTGAACAATATATAAATAGTACTACAATAAAGTACATGATAATGATAGTAATAATCACAAAGGCTTTGCAGGGGCGTTGTGTGCGGTTTTGATCGGGCTTTTTTGGCTTGGTTCAGCAGGAGTTGGTGCAGGCTTCGGGGTCCAGCATATGCCAACGGGGAAGTAGCGCAAGGGGCCCACTTGCAGGCCAAGAATCGCACCTTGCTACCAGCACGAGAAACACCACCTCTGCGCTTCTGCCACATGGTGAACGTACGGACTAACAACATGCCACCGAGTCTCTGCACTATCTGTCTACATTGTAGATATACACCCCGGGCAGGCCGCGAAGTCTTGGACTTTCCGTTTCGGGAGATGCTAAATGACAGCAAAATATGATACAGTCTTGTGACTACCACGTAGTTGGCGTTCAATTTGCAAACATGCCTTTCATGTAATGTAAAGTAGTAAATAAACAAGCAAAGTACTGTACACAGATGCAGCGAACGAGAACCATGCCAATCGCAACCATGGAAACGTTGTTTCGAAGCGTTTCGTGGACAGTTGGATTGTCTCTGCAGAGCTGAAACAGCCCGAAGCCACAGCTCGATACCCCTGACAAGTCTCCAAGAGCCATCCCCCAAAGCCTTGGGAGGTTTCGATATCCTGTTGGATACTGAACTGCAGCCGAGCTGGCGAAGCTTATCTCTGGGTCAAACCCTCTCGGGCTTTTGGATGGGTTTCTGGCTATGTTTGCAGTTGCCGGCTTAACTTCGGGATCCGGATTCGGTGATGGTACAAAGATTTGGGACATGTAGCGCCGAGGTAGGTGTAAAAATTCGACATGCTTCACTGAGAGGGATTGGAGTTCGCGGGCGGGAGGGTGGGTTGAGCACCGCGCGGCTGAAGGGCGGGCGGCGGGAGGAGTCGTTGGAGGGGTTGTGGTTGGTGGGGGCTGCTTACCCGGTCATCATCATTGTCATCGTCACTGCAGCAGCAAGAGTCAAGAAAATAGTCGGCTAAGTAGCGGTGCTCAATTCGCCACAGACTTGTCGCAGCATTGAGCTGTATTTTGGCAGTGCTAGATTGATCTGTGCTCCCTCGGAATACTCTTCACGGGTGTGGAGATCACAGGTTAGTTCATGAGCCGTTGTGAAGTAAGCCCAAACCCAGAGAGAAGCTGCCTAGCTACCCCCGAGCAAAGCCATTCTAACAGAAAGGTCTCACGTCTTTGAGCCATTTGCAGCCGCGCTCGAAATAGTATCGACAAGGATGGAGCAGTAGTAATTAGTCCGAAGAGACTTGAACAGTCAGAGCCCCTGTCAATCCCCCGGCACGGCATGAAGCGCACTCACACTCCCTTGCAGCCGCTCCCGTGCATTTTGTTCCGATGTAGATACTCCCCAAGTCTTTTCTTAACGGGCACCTTACTGGTATAGCCAGCTCATGGCTCGTTCGGATTGCCCGTGTTTCCCAAGGTCGCCGGTTTTTCGTCTGCGTCACCCCATGCCCTGAACCCACGAAGCACAGGGTTGTTCTCCAAAACCTCCAGGTTCGTTTCGAAGCAGGTGTAGAGTTCTTGTTCAGGCCGTGGTTGCTGGAGGTGAACGTTTTCCCGCCTGCCGGCTCGTCTTTGGGGCTCATGGAAGTGGAAGAAGAAAGCAGGGATTTCGCTATGAGTATGGCCTGCTCACATTTGAGGATTGTAATGAGTGTAGGAGTCGTTGACAAAGATGGCGCCCGACTTCTCAAAGGTCGTTCTCCTCTTCTTCGCCCTACGATAAGAGGATCAAGACCCAACTGGTGGCTGATGTGCCTGGGCCCCTGCGAAAGTTGAGTTTCCTGGGGCCGAGAGGGGAGCCCATTTGCGGCCTGCCGAGGTTCACCTTGCTTGGTATACCACCCTACAGCCACGACGCCGTAGAAAATGCATGCAAGGACTTGCGGTGGCTTGCAGTTCTTCGTCGTAAAGCTATCAGGGTTTGGCTCCTGTGGTGAGCTCGGGATTCCGACATTTGTGGAAGTGCCCCTGGCCTTGAGGAGGAGCAAGCGAAACGTTTGCAAGGTCAAGGTCTTACGTGCTTCTGAACAGGCGTCTCAGCTATGCCATGGCTTGGATCTCCGAGGCCAGTCAAAATCATTGTCCATCACGCGGTCGCACACAGCCGGGCCGCCATCACACATTCGGACCCCCATTTGGAGCACCTCGTGGCAGCCGAGGTCTCAACGATTAAATCGGCATCCCTGAAGAGTTTGGGGGAGGCTGGTGGTGAAGCTGGAGTTCCGTTGCAAGTCGAATCCAGCTCTGTGCGCAGGCTGAGCGGCGACTGATTCTCGAGTCTCACGAGGAAAACATGCGAAGTGGGCACCTGACTCGAATCTATCCTCGTCAGGCCAGCACCCAGCTTAATTACTTGCAAGTCGGCACCCTCGACAGAGAAGCTGCATCGGCAGGCTTCCGGCGCATATTCTCAGTTCTTCGCGTCTCAGAGGCCCTCGACTGCTGCACCTCTGAGTCTTCGTGTCCACATTTCCTGGGCAGGTACACAAACCTCGTCTTGGAGCGATGGATTCAGTTGGGTGGAGAGCGCCTGGGGTGGAGGTTTGAGCAATCTCTGGACTGCTGCTATCGGGAAGTGAGGAGGAGGATGCGGATGATGATGATAATGTTGAATATGCTCATGATGACAGCAGACACTGGTAGCCATGACACGAGGAGGACAGTTGCAGGATTAGGTTGAGGAGGATGAGGGGACGATGAACATGCTGGGATGATACTACTGCTACTGCTGATGATTGTTTGATACTTGTGTGCATGCAGTATAATTTTGATGATCGTATTGCTGGCCTTGATGATGATACTGGTGGGAGGAGAAGGAGGATCAGGACAAGGAAGAGAAAGGTCGATGGCCGAGGGGCGACGACGATGAATATTCTGCGGATGAAGCTCATGATGATTGTGCATCGTGTCAGAGTTTTAGTTGCCGGTTTCAGTATCACCCGATTTGCTATTCGTACACAAGTACCAGATTACTGTTGTGAGGGTGGGCTCAAAGGCTGATCCTGTACCGAGGCAGTCTGGCGAATTCGACGCTTGTGACCAAGTCCCCATCGGTGTTGCACTTAGCTGAGAGGCCTAACCTCCTAGGGGCACTAGACGGATGTAATTATCGTGTGGTTCTGACTGCTAAGGTGCTTCATTTGGGCACAGCGCGTGCCCATCCGCGAAGCAGAAAAGAGGAGTTGCTTTGCCTGGCCTGCCTGATTTGAAGAATTGGGTCACCAAGCAAATGCTTAGAAGATCGGGTTGAAGCACCTGGACGAGGCACGTGATGTGTGAAATTCCGAGCTCTGCAGTCGTGTAGCCAATCCGGGAGTGGCGAACTCCGGGGTCAGAGAACGTATAACAATAGCAAGAAGGGAGATAATAACACGAATAGTAATCGTACTCGTCGTAATAGCATATCTATGATCTGATAGTAATCACAAGACGGTTAACACTAATGTAAGTAATGATGCCAATATGACAATGGCCACTAAAGAGCAGTGTCAGCAACAAGAAGAAGAGTAACTACTAATTGCAGCAGAGCATTAACGTAACTAGCAACGGTTTTAATGATAACAATAAGGCCAACAATAGCAGCACTAACAAGCATGACAGGAACACCACAATAACAGCAGCGATAACAGTAACAATGAAAGACAATAGTGATATAATCGGATAACAATGGTGTTAGCAGCAATCGGTAGCAATCAAGTTTTTGAATACGAATCGTAATATGAAAACGTTAAGAAGAATGGTCATACTCATGATAGCAATACTGATGAGAGGAATAACAAAAGTGCTACTAGTGGCAGTGATAGTACGAATCGGAGACAGGTTTCAGGCAGATGGTCTCTGCAAGGCCTGCTAAACAGTTCGGAACCGTGGAGCCCAAGGCAGAAACTCCTGAGCCTTAATCCCGGCATCCTTAGCCAAGCACGTTTCCTCTTGCTCGGCTTGCCCTGTGAACGAAGTATAAGTAGCAGAGGAGCAGGGGGGAGGGCCGCTCTTCACATGTCATGTTGCATTCCATTTGGGTACATATGATTGCATTTGAAATGTCCTCACGCCTCTCAGTACATGTCACTAGATGTCAGTGTATTTGGGTCTCGATACAATACAAGTTGTCCCAGTCTTCCTTTTCCAACTCAGTGCTCAGCTTTTGACAGTTCATGACACGTCATTAATAAGTTTCCGATGTCGTGGCATTTCCGGAAATTTAAGCACATCTCGCCACAGTACCACCTCTCATGTGATGCCTGCAAGTCGTGTTGGTTGCATGGCATAGAATATCTTTACTATGCCGGCATGTGTCTCTTGTTTCATGATGCTTCGTCGTGCGCATCACGGTCACATCATACGTCAATCAAGCTGTGTTGCTTCAGTACAGATTTGAGGATGTCGTTTCACCAACTGTCACCACATTGCAGTGCGTGGCATGGTGTTTCGTTACAATTCGTCACAGTCCTCTGCGGTCCATGATGTGGTGTCATATTCATGACATTTCAGTGCAGATTTTGTTCCTGCATTCTTAGATGTCGTTTCAATTCAGCCCTTGCCATGCTGCTTCACCACATGCTTGGCTGCTAGTCACAGTCTCGGTTTCTGCCTTCTTGTTTGCAGCATGTGGATCGCGTTGGTGTTTGGCTCTTCCTAGATGTGGGATTGGGCTTGGCCAGTTGCCGACCAGCCCGTCCCCCAGCAACCTGGACAAAGTATGTATGCAATAGGTGCCAGAAAACTCTGAGTGCTTTCTCCCAATCATGCTGAACATGCTAAGGACACCATGACGGCAGCCGAAGCGAAATTCTACAAGGATGGCTCCTCCCCTGCACAAGGGCCGGGCAAATCGAACTGGCCAGAAAAGCTGCACAGCATGAGATGTCTTTCGGGGTTAGCTCTGCGAGGTTATACACACCGAACGGTGCTGTATGACAACATGCAGGATGCCAAGGCACTCTCGCTTGGTGTGACTTTGCACATTGACACCAACGCCAAGCTTAATTACCTTCGTTGCTATGACATGTGTCAGATAGCTGCCAAACCTAAAGCACCAAAAATCTTCAAAGTAGTGTCGGGCAGGCAGAATATGGCGGCGCACTGAACTTCAGCGCATATCGCCAGGGCCGTGACCGACAGGCGTCGATCGTCGGACACAGCTTGCTCTTCTCTTCCTTCATATACAATTGGGTGATAGGTATGACGATCTGATTGTCTCAAAGTGCCAGAGCTAGTTCCATGTCATGTGATACTTCTTCATAGAATGCCGTGGTGCTTCCTGCAGGGCTCATATGATCAGTCTGGCTCTGACAGTGGGTGTGACGGCGAGTGTGATCACTTCGGACATGTACGAAGTTCGCTGCTTACGACTTATGCGACTTGCGACGATGCCCGCGACATTGATGTGAGGCCGATGAGGGCGAGAATAACGATGGCCTTGTGACGATGGTCGCTTTCACGATGTTGATGATGTTGTTGTTGTTGATGATGGTATTGAGTTTTGCTGATGGTGATGATACGAATCACCTGTGCTTCTTTTGGTGCTGTTGTGTGCAATGACACTTTCCTCTGCTTTGTGTCATCATCGTCTGCCTGCAATGGAGTGGATGTGGACTGTCAGTACCTGGGCGTCAACGGGAAGAACTACTATGCGAAGCCTTGGGGCAACGACTCCTCCAATATCCAGGCCCGGGAGCGTGAGGGTCAGGTTTCTCACAGACTCCGAGGTTTCCAGCCTGCACTTGCCTCAAGGGCCGTAGACCTTACGATTCAAGATGGACACTGAGCCATCCAGTGATCCCAAGTCCCAGAACCGAGAGGGGACTCCTAGCTTAGGCCACGAGTGGCAGCAGGGTGGCTGGAACCCAATACCGTCTCTTGCGACGAAGGCGGTGATTAATGGACCATCCTACTGGAAGTCGGGCGCCTCAGAAATTCCCACAGATTCGACGGCTCAACGTTCGCCAAATCCTCTCAAGTCAGATGCAATTGGCTGTAGCATTGAGGACAATTACTATCATGACGATTGCTACAACTAGATTGACTGAAAGTGTCCTGAAGCCTCGGCTGGGCACTGTCAAAGGCGCGTGTACTATCGCGAGAACATTGCCGCGCGGTTCGCGCGCGAAGATGCGGAGGCAAGGATCCACAACAGGGTTTTTGCATGTTTTTGCTTTAGGAGAACGGTGCTATATGTCGAAAGTTCCGGGCCTGATTACTGGCCAAGAGCGGTGGGCTGAGACAGCGACGCCTCAAACCGGAGCACCGAGATGCTGCCCAAACCTCCCTTCACTTGCTGCACATCATGCTCCCATCCTAAAAGCCAGACCCCAATATGCTCAAGAAGGCACGGAAAGCCTTAGAGTCCTAACTTCAGAACTGCAACCTAGACCTTGGCGTGCCGCACCCAGTGTCACTGCTGGCAGGCAGCCGAACGCAAGGCTCAGGCGGAGATTGCAGAGGCACGGATGGGGTTGCGATCCAAGCCCTCGCACTCGAAACTCCCCCCACCCTGCAGCCTGAGATCTTCCGGGCAAAACGCAAAGCCCATACTGCTCCCCGAAGCCAAAGCCCTAATTCCTAATGAAGCCCAAAAAGCTTCAAAGCTTCAATACCCTAGACACCTTGAACTCAAAACCTTGCAGACCCCAATTTATACACCCTCAAACCCTTGAACTGGAAAGTTGAACCTTCAACCTTCAACCTGTTCAGACGACAGATCTGGAATCCTACATGCGAAACCCAGAGCCCTCACTTCAAACGCCGAGAGACAAAGCTGACCACCCTCCGCCCAAATCACTAGAGCCTACCTCCCAAGCTGGCTTATTTGGTTACAGGTCTGGTGGTCACCAGTTTCCTGAGCTAGCGGTTGGGCTTTCAACGGTTGTAAAGGGTGTTCAGGCTCCAGCAAGATAAGACGAGCCAGGGACGAATGACAGTCCTCATGCTGCTGTTGCCAAGTTACATAGTCAAAATATGTCGTTTCTGCCTGTGTGGCAAGAACAACAAGAGCAGAGCAGCAACAGCAATATCAAAAAGACGATTGAACACTCGTAGCGAAGTTAAAGGTAAAGGAACACGATAACTATTGCCTAAACAGCTACTGTAAGGGGGAGGAGGAGGAAGACGACGACGACGACCGCTCCCAACACACCCCACCCCTCCTCCTGCTCCCACTCCCACTCCCCCTCCCACCACCACTACCACTGCTACTACTACTACTACTACTACTACGACGACGACGACTTGATCACGACGTTACTGCGACGACTACTACTACTGCTTCTGTTGCTGTCTTTTTCCAATGTCATGGAAAACATTTTCCCGACACCCCAACCTCTTCGACAGGACAAGTACAAGGAACGTCTTCCCTGTAGAAACCTAGCCTGCTCACAGGAGACCCAAGCCCTCAACCCTAATGCTGTCAAAACTCGAGTGCCTAAGCCCCTCTTCTGGTTCCCTAGCCCGAATCCGAACCTCCCGAGCACCGACGTCCAAAGGCGCTTTCGAACGGGGCGGGTGAGGCGCCACCGAGGCAGGAAGCAACAGTTAAACGTGGAATAGCATTAGCATAGGAAGAGGGGTTAGTCTTGGCTGCAATTTTTGACTGGACATGATGGCTGTGATGACGATGATGAACATACGATGATGATGATGATGATGATGATGATGATAGCGGCTAGCGCTGGTGATGTCGATGACAAGGAGGATGATGATGATCGTCATCATCCCAGTGGCACGGGGAGGCGATCGCAGTCGGAAAGCGCACTTCAGAAGCCGAAGACCCTCGATGTGACTTGGCTGCAGTAGACAGGTCATCGAATCTTACAAAACATTCTTGGATTAAACCAACCCTGAACACCAAGCCCAAAAGCCGAGTCCGCCTAAACCAGAAAGCTGCCTGCGCCGTCCTAGGCGTGCCGTTAGGCCCGAGCAGCAGGGAGACTTCTGCCTGTGTGCCTGAACAGTCACGTGTGCACCCACGCAAACAACGAATCTACTCAGGCCGCACGCAAATCGGCTGTATGTGTGCGCATATCTACACCGTCTGCATATACATATACACATAGATGCAGATATTTATATTGTACATCTGTGTATGTGTGTGTGTATGCATATATATATATATATGTGTGTGTGTGTATGTGTATAGTTATATAGTTAGATATATATATATATATATGTATATACATATATACAGACACACATGCATGTATGCATGCATGCAGGCATACATCCATATATATGTGTATATATATATATATATACATAGCATGTATGTGCATGTAGACGCCCGCCGCAGCCCGCACAACAACATTCCTACGATCCCAGGCAAAGGACACGTACGCGCCCATCAAGGACTGCGGAAGTTTGAGCTGTTTTGCAGGCCTTTGAAACTTCAAGTTGCCCGCCGTCATGCCTGGTACGTCCGTGTTCAAGCTAATGCTACTTCCGGCGTTGATTTTATGGTGATGGGCTGAGGCTGTTATGTTCGTGATCATCGTTGTAGTGCTCTGAAACAAAGGGAATCCTTATGCCCACGCACTTCCTGAAGGACGCAAGAGGATAGGTCAGCAGGAAACAGAAGTTGCGGTTGATCATGTCGGATCTTCAGTAACCTTCTTTTTCTTCTGAGGCAACCAGGGAAGCCCCGTTGATTTAGTGCTGGCACCTTCTGTCAGAAACCCAGCAGCCCCGAGTGTGTAAATCTCCAGGTTCCATCAGGCATGGAAAATCCATTTTGTGATGAGATATTAGCCTGGCCTTTGGTACCATTCTCGATGGCACTAGTCCGTATTTGGTCTACCAAGCCTGCAGCAGGAGAACATGAAGCCTTTCGTGGAGAAGCAAGGCGAATGCTTTTTCAGAGTTCTAAGGGTTTTTGTCAAAAATGACATATTCACTGGCTTCGAAAGAGGTTAGTGGCTGCTGCGGAATGGCAGTTAGGTGGCACCGCACACCACAGATGTGGGCTCTGGGGCGGGGCTCAGAGATTGAGGATCAAACGTCAGGACAATAAGCCTTGAGCATTCATTCGCTCAGATCAGAAACGATGTTGTGCTTGATGAGTTTATGTTATGTTTGTTCGATTGACGAGTTTTCCCTATGCGGCTTGGCTACGCCCGTGGAGCAGCCTCGGCACTCTCCCCTTCGATGTGCTTCAAAGATTGCAGTATGCTAGGCGGTATTCTCGTCGCCATGGTCGCTGCGGTTCCGGAACACCAGCAGCTCATTAAAGATAAGCTCGAATCCAGACCGCTAGGGCCTTACCGTACCCGCCAAGCTCTGAATTCATCCGGAGCTGCATACTAACTAACTCTAGCCCTAGCCTGCCCCAGGCTTCAATGCCAGCAATTCTTAAACCCTCGACAGCCCAAATCCGCACGTGGGGGCGCAGGCAAGCCACGCATCAGAGCTATGGAGGTGCGGCACCTCCTCATCTTTGGGCTCTTGAACTGCTGAGCCTTCAACGCTTCACTCTTGATAAGCAATCGAGGGCCTATGTTGGGACCGGTTAGACGCCCCCTTTTCCCCCCCCCCCCATAGCCAAGATCATGACTTGTGCGCTTGGCCTGGTTTGAGGGATCCTTGTCTCTAGCTTTCAAGATTGAGTTTTTGTATGCTGCTTTATGCCAGCTCGATGTTCCGCGCTGCCGCTGCTGCAGCTTGCATGGTCGTCATACATTATCTCTGGTCCATAGCCCAAGGCGTAGCTGCAGTAAGCATAGCTGCTCCCTTCTGGTCGCAGGTTGAAAGCATGAGGTGCAACAATAATCTTGGCATGAGAGAATAGTCTCGAAGACTGCAAGAGCCGAACGAGTGTATGGCTTTGTCAGCACAAGATTGCCGCATGTTCCCCAAAGCTCCCTCAACTACTTCGATTTGCATTACGGGTGCCTACACTGTTACAGAGTTTCTGGAGATATCCAGGGAATTCCCTCCCTAGTTTTAAGAAGCAGAATATCGCTGAGCCTTTCGGCATGTTCCAAGGCCGGAGAGCGATTGCACTTCTTCAATACCCTTCACAACAAGTACCACATGAAGGCAGTGACTTGTGGATTGCAAATCATGCCCTGAAGGATTCAGTGAAAGTTTGGTTGTGCAGCTCCTACTGTATCGTGAGCCCTGGACTGCTCTGGCAGGCTGGTGGCAAGAACTTGGAGTGGAATGTCTCCAAGCAGGCCTCGCCTGTCTGCCTGGAATGTCGTGCTCTGTTGGAGCATCAGAGACACCCTGAACCCAACTAAGTTTTGGGTTGCCAGCACTCTTTGCAATCTGCCTTGACGGTGCCCTGCAGACCCACCGAAGTACCAAGAACGAGCTGAACTGGATCTTGTCCAACTACTTCCGCACCGACTCGCATGTCGCTTGGCTTTGCTCTTGCTGTGCGGTTTCCAAGACCTTACCGGGATCAGCAGGTCAGCGCTCGCACCTCTCCGGCATGGGGTCAGTTCTTCCTCCCCTCAAGAAGTTTGTACCCCGCGCTCCGAGCTGGGTTCCTAGCCGAGAGATACTTCTGCTCTTCGTTGGATTCAGTTGCAAAGCTTTCGTCCAAGACACCGCAAAGCCATCAAAACACAGAGCGGTTGCGAACGTCGCAAAAGGAATCTAAAGAGCCAGTAAGCAAGAAACTTAGGGTTTATGCCAATGGGCTATCCCAGCTGCATGCACGTCGCTTCTCATTTCTATGTCGGCATCGCCGGAAGCCCATCTAAACCCTAAACCCTAGTCAGAAGAGGAGCCCTCGAAAAGAGTTAACCCTAAGCCCTAAACCCCTCAACCCCTAACCCTCAAGCCTAAACCCATAAACCCTAAACCGCAGACCGAATCCGAAATCACAAGCCTGGCCAGGCTGTCCTAAAGGGAGCGGGGCAAGACTGACGAGGAAGTGCGAGAAGAAGGCGACGAACTTAGAAGCTACACATATAATACATATGTATATACACATGTGTGTGTTCTCTATATATATATATATATGTGTGTGTGTATATGTATATGTGTACGTATGTATGTCTATATATATATATATATATAAATAGATTATATAGATGTATACATATTTATTTCTTTGTTTATGTATGTATATATGTACGTGTACACGTACATGTACGCACATAGAGAGACAGAGATAGCTAGATAGACAGGCAGATAGCTATGCATGCATGCAATTTAGCTGTACCGTACCACACTCCAAAACTCCATGTCAAGCCCTATACAACCCAGGATTTGGCGGGTAGGACTTGTCGATCTCAGGCCAGAGCTTATTGGACCGCTGAGTCTAGAAGTTCACATTGTTGCAAACTTCCTGGAACCGTGCTTGGCATAGGATCCCGCCACAAACCACAAGCCCTATCGGATTCAACTCTGAATCCCTGTGTGCACTGTCGAGACTCTGAAACCCAAGTTCGAAGCTCTAGCTGTCAGCCCCTTCGTCGTATCTATTTGGCTTTAGGTTGTGGTGGTTGGGTCCAGGTCTTTGCAGTCTCGAAGCCGCTCAGCTCCTGAGGTTTTATCGTCACAACATGACGAGACCTCAAAGTGTACAAACCACCTCTCCAGACTTCCGATCTTCGTAACCAAAATCGTTGGTCAATCTGAATAGCGATCCTGCAACTCCCAAGTAGCTCTGAAGTCGACACCGCAAACCCCACACCCTCAGAGCAAATGCCATACCCGTCTAGGCCCAGTTCATTACCTCAAGGGGCCCGACCGCGATATGTATTGTATAGTAGAAATTATATGTTACAGTTTGCAAGGGTTATGCATTGCATAGTATACCGTGTGTGTGTGTGTGTAAGGTCCGTAAAGTATACGTTACATCATATATAGGTTCTGCCATATACGGCATATCAGAAGTTATATATATATATATGATATGTGAAGTATCTTACACTATATATTGCACGTTACATGTGATGTATGGTATATGATGGTATATTTGTTGTGGGTCACGTTTCATGCTTTCAGGTATGTAGTGAATACTAGATTTGGTTAGACGGTTAGATGTTATGCATGATGCATTTGCCGTTTACCATCACCATGTATGCATATATATATATGTGCATGCGTATGTATAATTATATATGTATATATATATATATACATATTACATATTACAGAAAGCTACGCGTTATGCAGTATGTGATTATCTGTTATTTATATGCTATACATCATGTACTTTATATCAGGTATATATGCATACATACAAAATACTTTGAAGTATATGCTATGTATGCTACATTTTGTTATAGAGATTATAGCATATGCGCGTTGTATGCTTTGGACTTTACACTATATAGTACATACAGTGAATGGTTTAACTATATACATATACACTTATAGGATTGCGTTATTCTATACATATACAGTGTAGTTAGATTTACATTGTATTATATGTGCGGCTTTGGGGCCGTTTCGTCGGCTTTGCTTGCGTTTGAGAAGGCGGAAGGTTGCGGCGGCTGAGAGGACAAGTGGCTCTCTTTATAGTCCTTGGTGCCCCAAGACAGAGTATACGACAGTTGCGACTGTGATCTTTGGCGGGGGATCTTGTTTCGACCAATGGGCCCATACCCAAGTCTCACTTCCATCTCATTCATGTTTGCTCCGAGGCCTGGCAGCATGCAAAGCATGTCTGTGCGGAATGGGCAGGAGCAACAAAAAGGAAGCATCAGGGCGCCACATCCGAACCTCCGAGGCCCACACCTTGAACCTCTGGGAATCCTTTTTATAGGATCTTGAGGAGTTGCAAAGGACTCTTGAGCTTGTGGTTTAGTGAGTTTTGTGTGTGTGTGGTCGCACGCGCAAGCCTCATCGCCAAACCAAGCCACCTTGACTGTGTGCCCGCAAGGACCTCACTCTAACCCTGAAGGGCCCTTGCAGCGAATTCACACAAAACTAGCTTTTGTAACAGCTCAGTGTGCCCGCAAGGACCACACTCTAACCCTGAAGGGCACTTGCAGCGAATTCACACAAAACTAGTTTTTATGACAGCTCATATAATGTAATACCCATGACATATCATTATACTATACTATGTGTGATGCGTTAGTTATAGATGATACTTTGTATATGGCATATTGTATCTTGCGTGTTCTAACCCAAAATCTTCATCTGGTTCGAAAGCCTGCTAAGCCTTCTAAGCCTTGAGCTGTGGAAGCGCAGCTCTCAGGCCTTATAAAAGCAAGGTTTCAGTTTTCGGGGCAACAGCATACGGGCGTGTAAAGGCTAGATAGTACAAGATCGATGCAGAGCCTTTGGAGGAAAACCAACAAGGATGTGCATAGTGCAGAAGAGCAGCCGGAACTGACAGAGCCCTCTGTCAGCGAGCTTCTGGTTCATGATGTTGCCCGCCACCAGCTGGATCCAGCCAGCATAGCCGGCAAGGTGTGTTTCTACGGATGGGAGTCTTCACCGGTTTAGAGTTAGAGAGGAACCAGGCTATTCGGGTACATAGGTGCCAGGCTTCGAACTCGTTCTTCAAGTCTTAAGGGTCAGGCGGAGGCAACTCAATAGCTTTCCGATAGCAACAGTACATGTTACTTATCTTCGCAGGTGGTAAGGCTTTGCCCGTAGGTGTTCTGCCAGTGTTCTTGTACGCGTTCTGATTGATTTTTCATTTTTTCTGTCTTCATCATGTTCTTCTCTGAGTTTATCGATGGCCGCGCTGCGTCAGTGGACGGATCTGCCTTGAACTGCGCTCTGTCTGCGGGATTGCGTAGATGAAGCGCCGCTTGGCTGCAATTGCTTGATTCCGGTGCCTCAAAGCCAACTTGAATCGAATTGCTATTTTCCGATGTTCGCCAGGACTTCTTGACACAAACGTCGTAATCTAGGTCGTGCATTTTTCCTCAGGCTGTCGGATGGTCTGAAGGTTCAGTCAACGAGGCAACGGGTCTTGGGCATCAGTTCTGCAGATTTCTGCTGTTTGGAACCACTTGTTTTGGGGGCTTTCGAGAAATATCCGCTATTGCGCGAGTTGATATTCATTCGCTTCTGTGTTCAGTTTTCGGGCCTCGTGAGACCTGCGGACTGCTTGACCGACCACTCCGTCTTGAGAAGTGACCCTTTGTGGCGTCGCTATGGTCGATCATCGTTATCATCAACATCATGACAAGACCTGTTTCCCTTATCACAAAGGATCCTGATCATCATGATCACGGCAAGCCCGCTCGCGTGCATGTGTTTGTGTGTGTGCGCGATACCCCACAAAACCGTTGAGTTCGGCGCTGAAAAGCAAATCCCTAGCACCGCAGGGTTTTCCTCTTCCGGTACCCTTTCGCGCCATTGTGCGTTTATTTTTCGACGCTTTCCAATCCCTTGTTGACATGCCGCAAAAAGCGTATAGCAATCGGTGTATCGAGTGATGACCGTAGGAATTAATATCATGATGGCAATAACAGATATACATGTCATGGTAAACATGAGAATAAAAAGGGGCAACATAGCCTTGGGTGCCTGTCACAAGAGTGACGTTTGCCATTTCACTGGCTGCCAGATTCGACCTGCGGACCGTCATGCAAATCTTGAACTCCACAGAATCAAAGGCTTAAATCCGAAGCCCTACATTGGATGAATCGCAAATCTTGCAAGAATCCACAACCTCAAAGTCTGAATGCTAAACCCCAAAGTGTAACACTCTGATGAAGAAGGAGGCAAAACAAAAGACAAAAGCCTCAAGTCCTGTCCTAAACCCGCAACCTTGCCCGATCTCCGGGCGGAGAACAAACTTGTGCTCGTGCGTTTGCTTTTCTGCGCTAGTGATCGTTTGGGGTTTTGGGTTCAAGAGCCGGTGCTGTCGGTGTAGGTCTGGGATTCAGAATTTGGGATTTCAGTCTCAGGGAAGCCCCGAGCGAAAGTGCAAGGATGTGGTGCCACCAGTGGGATCGCCTAGAGCTCCACGCAAGCGCCACGGCGAAAGCCATTCCGTTCAGAAGTGGGTGTTTTTGCGCAACACTTGCGTCACTTGTGTTCGTGTGTCTGCCAGGCAGGTCCAGACCCAGGTCGTTTCATCCAAAGATGTGTACGTGGAGTGTAGAAAGTGCTCGATATCCTCACACGGACCCTCCCGTATGCGCCTGCGTGTCTTTTTGACAGAAACCCATGTGTTTCTTTGGCGGAGCTAGCCCGCTACACGGAATCGCATACATAGAGTACGTGACAATGACAGGATGAGCCCAATCCCTTAGTCGCATCGTCGTGATGATAATGGAAGGAAAGATAAAATTAGTATGAGGCTTACTCAACTATGGTGCTTGTTGTCCCATCGTATTCAGAAGAGCTTGCCACATGTAATGCAGCGATCGGCATGTCGATCAGATCCGCAGGAAGCAGAATCCTCAATCCTTCAACCGGAAGCCCGACGGAATCCTGAGGAATCCTAGTGGCTCCTGCGGTGGTGGAGCTGATCCTATTGGGGAGGTGAGGTCAAGCTAAAGTCTGAAGTGACTCTATAAAGCAAAGGCTGTATGCACTGCGAGCCTCGCTACATCACTGCCCTGCTAGGTGTGGCATCCGGTCCCTGACGACACGCGGCATTGCCGTTGATTATCTTTCTTCACCATAGTTTGGAATGATGCAGGCAGCCAGATGCATTGGAAGATTTCAAGCTTTGATCTTGGTTCCAGGGCCCAGGGCCTAGGTAGTCAGGAACTGAACTGTGCTGCCACGAAGCTTCCTGAGGCAAGTTGAAGCCTGTGTACGGCCTGATGGATTTCAATCATGGGCTGCTGCAAAGTGCAGAGACGAGCCCAGCTGCAATCTACTAGATGGGCTTGACGATCTGTTCCTGGAACATTGCGAACAAGATTTTTGTTGACCATTTTTTTCATTAATTGTCCAACGGCTGAACCTTGAATAAACTTGTCAGACTTCTGATCTTGGCA